TAATGAAATATCTTCTCACTTGAATTAGAACCATTATCAAAATGCAAAATGTAGAGGCAGATGTTTGGTTCAGCACCTCAAATCATTGCTTGGTACGCCCACATCTCGTAGGAATGGAAGCCTAGTTCAAGTCTGCTATTTATTGCATGACTGATCCAGCTTCCTGCTGGTGGGTATCTTTGGAAGTAGCAAATAATTGTTCAAATACTTGTGTCTCTGCCATCTTAATGGAGACCTGCTACATCTCCAGACTTCATGGCTTTTGCATGGCCCAGCCTGTCTCTCCTTTAAACAAAATGAAAATAATCAAATAATAATGGATGCAGCCAAAAACAACAAAAGTTTTCAAGAATATATTTTTTTTAAAAAAAAAAAGAGCCATTGTATGCTTTGATTGGTGTGTAATTAGTTTGGCTATTGTGAAAAAAGTATGAAGATTCCTCAACAAATTAAGTAGAAATGCATCATACATAATCTCACTTCAAGGTATATATCGCGAAAAAAACAAACAAACAAAATTTAAAAAGCATTTGAAAGCTGAGGTGTGAACCAGATGATGGAAGATTGCCCCACCCCCTGACTCTCTCCCCTTCTCTGTCACTGTTTTTCAAATAACTAAATCCTTATAAAGAAAACTTTTAACTGTAATAGAAACTGTAATTTATAATCTTTGCAGTGATATTAGGGAGAAATATTCAGTTTTCTTTTTTTTTTAAAGATTTATTTTTGTTATTTTTTTTTTATTGGAAAGGCGGATATACAGAGAGGAGAGACAGAGAGGAAGATCTTCCGTCCGATGATTCACTCCCCAAGTGAGCGCAACGGCTGATGCTATGTCGGTCCGAACCCAGGAGCCTCTTCTGGGTCTCCCACATGGGTGCAGGGTCCCAAAGCATTGGGCCGTCCTCTGCTGCTTTCCTGGGCCACAGGCAGGGAGCTGGAAGGGAAGTGGGGCTGCCGGGATTAGAACCGGCGCCCATATGGGCTCCCGGGCGTGCAAGGCGAGGACCTTAACCACTTGCGCCACTGCGCCGGGCCCAAAATATTCAGTTTTCAAATTGAGAGTGACCTCAATGACTGTGTCATCTTATACAGTATCATTTATCCTATGATTATTAACCTGTTTTCCATGATTAATTTTTCCTCTGCAATAACCAACTGTTGAGAAGTCTTTTCACTGTATTGCCTCAGCTGAATGGGGGTATTGTATTTACTATTGAAATTTCTACTTGTATGTGGTTGGGAATCAAGAACATCAAACTGGGCTTGATTAGAATTTGCTAAGGAAAGCAGTTACAAGGTTTAATTAGGACAGGATTCTTGTAGAGTTATATATAGCCTTTATCTTTAAAAATATGAAAGTCCTGGAGCTGATGACATTGCAGCACATTGGCTAAAGCTGCCTTCTTTCTCAGCAACATCCCTAGTGGGCACCAGTTGGGGCCCCAGCTACTAGATTTCTGATCCATCTTGCTGCTAAGAGCCTAGAAAATTGTTTAAATATGTGGGCCTCTGCCACCCATATGGCAGATTCAGGTAAAACTCCTGACTCCTGGTTTTGACCCGGCCCATCGCTGGCCATTACAGCCATCTGGGGAGTGAAACAGAGGATGCAAATATCTCTCAATCCTTCTTTCTCGGAACTCTGACTTTGAAAATAAATAAATAAATCTTTAAATCACTGAATATAATATGAAGATCTTGTGCCAAAATGCCAGAATCCCACATGAGCCTCGATAAAGTCTTGGCCCCACCCCCTCTTCTGTCCTGCTCCCTGCTCAAGAGCCCAGGAAGGCAGTGAAAAATGACCCAAGGGCTTGGGCCCCTGCACCCAACTGGGAGACCCTGATGTGCATCCTGGGTCCTGGCTTCAATGCAAACCAAACCTAGTTGTTGTGGCTTTTGGGGGAATGAATGTGTGTGCATGTAACTTTCAAGTAAATAAAACATATGTTAAAAAAAAAATTGCTCTTCCCATACAAGGGACATTTTAAGTCTGTAGAATCCCAGGGAAAGAAGTTAGGAACACCGACATTTCTTGAATAGTATGAAGTTGCTATAATATTATAGCTGCTGACAATATATAGGGCTGCTTTGTGAGACCATGGGATTGTTGTGGTTAAAACCCCTTAATGATGAGTTGACTGGATGAGCTAGACCCTTGGAAAATGTAGAATGTCGGGATTCACCCACTCTTGGTGAATCAGAATTAACAATTTAACAAGATACATATGTAAATTGTAGTTGAGCAAAAATTCTATGGCTAACAATTTTACAATATTTTTACATTTAATTGTCAAATTTGATGCAGAATTATAAGCTTTGGTACAGAATTTAAAGATTTTAAAAAAATTTTACTGGAAAGTCAGATATACAGAGAAAAGACAGAGAGGGAGATCTTTTGTCCGCTGATTCACTCCCCAAGTGGCCGCAACAGCTGGAGCTGAACAGATATAAAGTCAGCAGCCAGGAGCAGTTTCAGGTTTCCCTCACGGGTGCAGGGTCCCAAAGCTTTGGACCATCTTCAACTGCTTTCCCAGGCCACAAGCAGGGAGCTGGATGCAAAGCGGAACAGCTGGGATGTGAACCGGCGCCCATATGGGATCCTGGTGTGATTAAGGCGAGGGCTTCAGCCACTGGGCTACCGCGATGGTCCTGATGCAGAATTTAAATAAAAGTCTAGAAGAGGGAAGTGTAAGTGTAAGTTTGATCTCACACTTCATCAGGCATCACCAAATGAATTAAATTCTACCAACAGAAAGGAAATTTCTGTTTCTTGAGTATAATACTTGAAGAGCTGCTATTTAAATACTGCTTCTTTTAAAATTATTTAAATCCACTTCTTTTTTATTTCAAAGAGAGGGAGGGGGAGAAAGAGAGAGAGTTGGATCCACTAATTCATTCAAATTGCCTGCAATAGCTGGGGCTGAGCCAGACCGAAGCCAGTGACAATGAACTCCATATGGGTCTCCCATGTGGGTGGCAGGGACCCAGGTGCATGCGTTGTCACCTGCCACCGCCCACAAGTACTGCTCCTTTGTTAGCTTTGGTCTTTGCTTTACAAAAAGGTAAAACACAGCTTTGGGGGTTCTTGAACTACACTGTAAGGATTCTTGCACGTGTCCTCAAGTGATACTCACTGCTTAGTCCTGCTCGCAGTTACTGTATTCCTTTTCACTAAAGCCAGAATATGTGGAGCTCCTCTGGGCACCTTTGCTTTCTGCTTGGAGTAGGTACTGTGTTTTGTCTGTTGTTTCCATCCCATCCCTGACGGGTCTTTGTGCATGAGCAGCATTATCAGTAAGATAATTAGTGTGGATAAGGGGATCTGTATAGTTATAGATATATGCCTATATGTCTATAGCAGGGGACCTGCAATGGGATCCAGACCAGGCGTGGCTCCGAGCTGACATTTCTCCGGACCAAGTGTACTTTCACAAAAGATGCTCTTTGGCCAAGCAGTGAATGGAGAGGAAGTGGAGACTTAAGAAGTGACAGATACCGCCACACCCAAGGTTGACTCAGGTTCCTAACAAGCACGACTACCAAGCTCCTGTCTAGGGGGCGGACATCAGCTTCAAGGCATGCCAGGCAGGGAAGGCCAGGCAGCAGAAGGTGCCCGAGGCAATCCCACCCCCAAAGGCGCGGGCGGACACACGCTTGCCGGTGGAGCTCCTGGTGCGGGGAGGAGCCCCAGCGGGCGAGCGCGTGCCGCCCCTGCCCACTGGGCAGTGCTGCTCCCGGCGCTCGCCATCGGCCAGGCGGGCTGGGAGGGGGCGCGGGGACTGGCAGCCCGGGATGGCTTCGCGGGAGGAGGAGGAGGAGGGGGGCGGGAGCCGAGTGTAGCCACGAGCGCGTGTGCGTGAGGAGGAGAGCAAAGACGTGATTACTTCAGAATTTATTTAAGGGCCGGTGGAAACCACTGCAGCAGCTTCCAGGGGAAGCCCTTGTTCCAGAGGAACAGGAGGTGGCGGCTGCCAAGGAGGAGGAGGGGTGGAGGAGGAGGAGGAAGAGGAGGAGGAGCAGCCGCGGCAGCAGCGACCACACAAGGCAAAGGGAGGAGGAAGATGCGCTAGCATCCTCAGCAGCTCCCGGCAGGTTGGTTCTCCCGCCAGCTGGTGCCAGCAGGGAGGCTGGCAGCCAAGGCCGGGAGGAGGAAATGGGTGTGAGTGTGTGTGTTGGGGTCTGGGTGCTGACTGCTCGGCTTTCCGGCGAAGGAGCGCCTCCTTTAAGCGAACCCAGAAATAAGCTGAGCGCCAGGCAGAGACCTGTCCTGCTTCTCGATTGCCTGGGGACGCGCCCCCGGGCTCCCAGTGTGAGCCAGAAACTCCGAAGGGGGATCCGGGTGGGCAGCTGGGTGGAGAACTTCTCTTCCACACACTCCTCACGCCTTCTCCCCGCAAAGCTCGCTTTAGCAGGGACCACCCCACGTAAACCCACCCTACTCCCCAACACACACACACCCTACTGCACGCGCGCACCCCAGGTGGCCCGGGAGCCTCCGACAGGGAGCGGCGCCGCCCCGTTAAGTTTCTGAAAGTCAAACCCAGTGCCCTGGCCCCGGCTCCCCGCCCCCTCCTCCGGACTCCATCCCTCCCCCCCCCCAAACTCCGGGGGTGGGGGAGGGCCCCGCTTGCACGCGGTGGGAAGCTGCGGTTGCACGGGCAAAGAGGCCGCGGCTGCTTTAAGAGCCGCCTCCCCCTCTCCTCCCTTTGACAATGGTCTGAACCAGCTCTGCTTCCCAAAGCAAAATTTGTAATATGCCATTTTTCCGATGGACGCTTCTCCTCGGGGCTGCTGACGGAGCCGCGGGAAGATGCGCAGGGGCCGGCACGCCAGCCGGCCGGGGCACGTTCCGGGAGACTGCCGGGGCTCGCGGGTGTCTCAGCTGCCTTTCTCCTCCCGCTGCTAGGGCAATGGTCCAGGAGCGCTGGGCGTGAGCCTCCGCTCCCGTCAAGCCGGAGACTGCGGTTGTCATTGATCCGCTGGAGAAGCAGGACCCGAAATCACAGGCATTAGGTACAGAACCTGGATTTGAATGGCACGGTTTCCCTTTGCGATGTATTGATGGACTGATGGGTGTTTAATTTGCCACCTCCCCGGCCCCACCCCGCCCCCAGGGAAGAAGAGATGCACACTCCTCCTTGGAAGGGCAGTAATTGGGATGACTGCCACGAAGCACCTTTTACTTTCCTCCCCCTGTCTTGTGCATTTCTCATTTCCTGGCTTCCTGTCTGCTTGCCTCTCTCCTGTCGGGCAGCGTGAGCAGTTTTAGTGTGGAGATGATGGAGGCAACTTCGTCGGGTCCGTGGTGGGGGGTGTGGCTGCCAGACCACTGTCCAGCGGTGTGGGCCAAGTGGAAATGCTCTCGCGTAAAGAAAGCGAAAAACGCTTTCCCTGAAGGCTGTCATGGTATTTCCAGAAGACCAGGGGATTTCAGAGTGAAGGAGGAGGAGGAATATTCATGGAAGGTAATCAGACAATGGCTAGGATTTTTCTCACCGGATTACTCCTGTGGGTTAACTGGAGCTGGGATGGCTCTTCGGACTAAACCTTGGCCGCGGGGAACTTAACTGTAGAAAATCCTTGCCTATGGTAAGGGCCAAATCCCGGTGATCTGATTCGGTAAAGTTAGTCATTGATAGAAAAAGAACCTTTTGTAGCACTCTCCGATCGGAACAGGTAATGCCTTTTAGTTATGACTCCACTGGGCGTCAAAACTTTTATTTTGAAATCTCAGAGATTTCCAAGGAAGTGAAGGTGTGTGCTAAGAAGGAGGGAGCTGATTTCCCGGCTGTAAGATTCTTCAAGCTAATTTTAAGCGCTGACATAATTAAACCTACTGGGCTTATTAGTATTTTTCTTTTCTATCATAGCCAAAATCAGCAGTATATATCATTAGTATTTGAAATCTTCAGTCATTTTACAAACAAGACTAAAAAAGAGTCATAAAATTTTATATATTACCTGGACTTTGGGGAGGGGAGAGAAATAGTGTCAGGTGCTTCCTGGCTTTTCAGGAGTGATGTGGTGAATGCTGCTTCTGAGCTTGAAAATAATTGCTACAATGAGGTAAAAGTTAAATATTTGCGTGAAATACTCTAGACATAGAGTAAGAATATAGCCTTCTCCACCATGTGGGTTGATTAAGATGTTATGCATTCTATAAAGGTATATTGAATCCTTCATCCAACAGATCTTTAATTATATATAATATTAAGAGTGCATGAAAACATTATAGTATATTTTAAGAATTATTCAAATACTTTATACTTTCAATGAACAGAATCTGACTCCCAATGCAGGAAATTAAGCTGGCTCATGAAACTGTATATTTTGTAGACATAATTTGTATTCTAATTTTGATGGAAAGACTGGATTCATACATTTGAGCAGTCTCCAAAAAACTGAATATGTTCATCTTATTTTCTAAGCAAATTTTACAAATTCTATAAACTTACACAATTACTTTACATCAATTTGATAAGATTATTTTTTATTTTTAAATTGAATTTGAAGAACCCATTAATATTGCCTAAAATTAAACATTTGTATGTGAAAAAGTGAATCATAAAATAAATCTCTTTTCTGTAATATGAGTGTTGTCACCTTACAATAGAAATAAATATGTGTATTTGATAGTTATTTTTTCTAGTGTATCCCCATTTGGGATTTTTTAAAAATTAAGTTTAGGTTAATATACCCCCTTTGTAGAAGAAACTCAAGTTTTGAGAAGCGAAGTGTCTTTCATTGATTCCTGTGTTCCCAGAGTGTGAAGCAAATCAGGTTCTTTTCAGTGTAGACTCAGTTGGCTGACATGCTCCAAGCTACTCCTCAGCGTAGTAATCTTTTGACCCACTATGTTAAAGACTACCTTTTATCCAGATATGAGTTATGTCTTTTGAATTCCCAGTGTCCCCTGGTGACAACAAGTGGTTATTTAGAATTAGGACATCGTATTCAGGTATTAATTGTACTTATGATAATCATTACAGTTATAATTTTTACTTGAAACTTAAGTTGGTTCAAATAATGCAGAATGAACAAGGAATAATGTTGCTCTCTTTAAACATAGATTTAAAAATGTTTATATAACCCTAAAATGGTTTGGTACAAATTATGTCAATGTATCATTTCCTCTCCAAGCACTTTAGTTTGAATATCAAAAGTTAGCACAATGGTCCCTGACAACTAGTTCTCAGGGTGACACAGGTGTTCAGTGTGTGGGACACAATCGTTTCAAATAATCAGATGTGTCGAAAGGTTGTTGAATTTTTTATTGCCCCAATTAATTTTCAACTACTGAAAAGGTTATTGTAGTTAAAAAGTATTTTTCCCATTTGTATTTGTGAAAAATGCAAAAAAAGCTTTTACCCATTAGAGATTAGCAATAGTATACTTCTGTGTTTGTGTGTATTGAAATATATTTGATGCATCTATGCTGTAAAATTCTGTAACTATGAAACTGAGCAATTGAAGATCCAACTTTCAAGAGGCTTAGCATCAGAATGAGCAAAAATTTAGTTTATTTTCTTAAAATTCACCTCTTACTTCTTATACATAAATTATCAGCCATAATATCTTTTCTGTTTAGTTCAATGCTTTCTTTTAAAGTTTCTCTGAATTTTCAGTGAGCTTTGACCAAATGACTCACAGATAATTAAATCTTTCTACTCAATAACTCAATTTATAAAAAGAATGAGACAAAAAGTAATTAACCATTGAGCTGTTAAATCTTGACATTTTATTTGAAAATATCACCAGAAATATATTCCCCAAGGACATGAAATGAATCAACCTTGCGTTATAAAACTGAAGAATGCTCCAGAATCAACAGCCAATCTACCTTTCTCCAAATCAGCCACCTGTAAAACCAAGCCTCCTGGTTAACAGCTCCTGGCCACAGTAAAGTGAAAGGGAGCTGAGCTTGGTTGCTTCTAAAAGATGGTAGAGAAGTCAACAGGAGAACATTTCTGACCTTTGCAAAGAACATTAGGCAATATAATGGGGCAATGCTACATCTCAAGCTGAGTTATCTATTTTAAAATCAAATTTATAAATGATTTAAACCATTCTGAACAGTTCGTTTAGTGACTGAGTTTGTGGCTAGCACCTGAGGTGTGAAGTGGCTGCTTTAGCTAATGTAATTTATGATGACTGTTTTATGGACTGTTTCAACGTGTATTGCTCAGATTTGAACCAAACAATTCATCTGACAGAAAACAAGAGAATATTATACATAATTGGCAATGTTACCTAAGTCGATTTATATGCTCAGACTATTTCATAAAATTTGCCCAATTTAGTCAGTATCAAGTTTCAACTCTGTGGACAACTGTAAGAGAGGTTATCAAAGAATATCAACAAGCTTCAAGTTTGTTCATGTGGAAAAATCTGTTGCTAAAAAAGAAAGCAATAACATACTACATGAAATATTCAATTACATTTTATAAATCAAAGAGTGAATATTAATTTGTTAGATTACCTAGTCATTAAAAATCACTTATTTCTTGCCCATAACATGCAATACATTGTTTGCTTGTATGTTCTAACAGCAAACAAAGATAACACACAGGTATTAAGTGTAAGAGATCTGTAAAGTTGCAGGTAAAGAATATTGACTAAGTAATGATTGAAATAACGTGTTGACATAAATTAGCTGGGCTCAATCATGAAAAAAACCTGAGAAGCAAGTGAAACCAATTGAAGGTGGGAGACATGTGGATTATCTAAAGAAGAAGCAGGTGGGGTGGGGGAAGTATAAGTATCTTATTTGCTAGAGGTCAAAACATCTGAGTTGGTTGAAGAGTTTATCGGGTTGGTGGTTAGATGGTTTTCTTGGAAATCATTCCTTTACTAACTTTCCGCTTCACTTTCTTTAAGCAATGATGTGTGAAGTGATGCCCACGATTAATGAGGACACCCCAATGAGCCAAAGGGGGTCCCAAAGCAGTGGCTCGGACTCAGACTCCCATTTTGAGCAGCTGATGGTGAATATGCTAGATGAGAGGGATCGTCTTCTGGACGCGCTGCGGGAGACGCAGGAGAGCCTCTCGCTGGCCCAGCAAAGACTTCAGGATGTTATCTACGACAGAGATTCGCTCCAGAGACAGCTCAACTCGGCCCTGCCGCAGGTAAGCATCCTCTCCATTCCAGCTGAAAACGTGGTGGGGCTTGCGAAGACTTGCTTTATTTACATTCTTGTGTTTATTTTTTTTCCCCCGACTTAATATAGTCGTATCTACCATGCATGCTTTGATGAGGAAAAATGTAAGAATAGCTGCTTCACGCAAAACCTGGCGTCCAAAATCCTCATGCAGTAGTATATGCTTTTTGAGGGAAAAGAGGGGAGGCATGAATTCCTATGTGGTGCCTTTCTTGAAAATTTTGTTTGCGCACGGGGGCGGGGGGTGGGGGGTGGGGGTGGGGTGTTAGAAAACCACTTGTTGCTTCGCTTTGAAGTACTAGAATGTGTGGATAGTTGCTTTTTTTTTTTACTTTAAGCCATAATTAGACTTTTGGAAATACATTTTTAAAAATCTTTGGCTGTGTGTTCTGTCTTTGGAAATGATAGTTTGGAAATACAGCCTTACCGCAGTTGTGCTTTTATTTAAAACTTCCTAAATCCTGCTGTAAGATTCTTAGTTATTGATGAATTATCTTGTTTCCTCAAAAAATACATCAACCAGACTATTTTTAAAATAGCTTAGAAATGGGAACTAGATAAATGTTTAATGTATTCTCAAAGTGAACCTTATATTAGTCTTTGCAAAAATCGATTTTGGTCAATTTTCTTTTGTCAGAAAAAAGTTTAAGGATTATCCTTTGTCTACAGAAGTTAATAGAATATAAATGACATTTTAAATACTGCATCCCAATAAACTAGCTTTTAAAGTATGGGTTTACTGCATTTGTTTCCTGGTTGAAAAGCAGTAGAGCAAATGATAAATTGTCTTCTCTCTATTGTGATATCTTTCACAAACATGGAATACCATGCCATTGAGATTAATAAAAGCCTCGGACCATGTGCCTTCGTCACTCACAGGGCAGTGCTGAGATATTTATGAGTCTCAGAGCAGAAAGGCTAGTCAAGATCCCCAGGCAGGACCCCATATGGAAATCCCCTTTATGCATGGCTGAGGTCCCAGTCTTCATTTTCAGTCAGTTTTTCTTGCAGTAAGATGAAATGATGTTTGTAAAAACTCTGACTTGTTATAAAAAGGTTGATTTAGTCGCTCAGTGTGCTTACTCACTTGGAAAGGCAGTTATATTTTCACCAAGAACTGTGGTTTTTGGAGTGGGTGTTCATTCTTTGCATTTGCTCTTCTCATGGTGACTTTAGCGTTATCACTCTGATTCTCCTTTGGGATTATTTAATTGGTTTATTCTGTTGTTTCACTAGGGCTCCAAGACTAATCAGGCTATTTCCATCATTCTGTGAGAGCATAAAATGAGGCAATCAATTTTCTTTTTGGATTCAATGTTCATTAAGGAAACCTAGGACTGTTTTATATATTGGGGATGTATTCAACATACTTAGAGTATATGCTAGAATATCATTCAACTAAAGTTTGTGAGTTGTAGGAAAAACATTCTGTTAGATCTTCAATGCTACCTGTAAGACTCTGAATAAATTTCTTCTGTGTTTACTTTTTAATGTTTTATTCAAGCATACATTTTAATTGGAAGCCTTTCTTTTTAGAATGCAATGTAAATTAACTTTTTTTTAAAAAAACTATTAGTATTTTGATTGCAATTGGTCATAATACCTTCTGAAATTTTAAGTTTTGACAATTAATTATAGTAACATACAATTTGTGAGCCAAATTATGTTGGACCACTTGTTTTAGAGTTCAGTTATGTACTGATGGTAGATGTATTTTTTGAAAATTATGGGAAAAATATATATGCATGTTTCTGGTAAGAATTATATGAATACTCCTAATGCATGGAAAGTTAAGCATTATAAAGTGTCTCATGTTAGTACTAATCTGGCTTTGATACCAAAGTTTGTTACACATGTACAAAGAAAATATCAATTTTAGAGCAATAGGTTTGGTACTTTAGGAATTATGAATACATATACTTAGATATAGTTCAAATCTGTTGCATAATTACCCTGACACATTTTCTTAATATTGATTTGTATTTAGTATTGTAAATATATGAATATCCATACAAACCACAAGTTCTTAGTAACAGCAATGATTCTGAAATTTCTTTTAAACCATGCATTTAATAAATTAGTCTGTAGCTTTAGAAGTATGTTTTCTTGGAAATAAAAAAGGGATATTCATTATTAATTGGTATATTTGAGTCTTCTGGGATATTTTGTAAGCATTATACCAGCAGTGTTTGGTGTCTTATTTGACAGCTGAGAAAGGAAATGACTGTCGTAAATGTGAGTAAAAAGCAATATAAAATTTAAAAATAACACTAACATAAAAATGAAACATTATAGCAAATACAGGATGGAGCTGAATGTAATAACAAACTTTATGACATGGGTGTTTGAAATTAACCAAACCAGGTTTACAGGTGTTGATGAGTTTGAGCTTTGCTTTAATTGCTTTCTCACCTGTTAGCACTTTCTGAAGAAATACAGCAATATGTTTTACAATCCTAACCATGTAAAACAGCCATACTATTGACTTTTTGCTTTATATTTGCGGTATCTGCGCTGTTAGAGTACTAATCGTTCCCTATATTCCACATATCTGTATCTGATTTTTCTAAGCTATGCTTTCTTTTTTATAAAAAGATTGTTTTATATTTATTTGAAAGGCAGAATCAAGAAAAAGTAATATCTCCTGTATTTTGATTCCCTCCCCAAATGGCCTCAATGGCCAAGTCTGGGCAAGGCCAGAGCCACAAGGCAGGAACTGCATCCTGCTCTCAACTGCGCAGATTCATTTTACTGTCCCACGGAATCTTTGATTCAATATGCTCTTTACTCGGTCACCATCTGCCTGGAAGTCACCATCCAGGTCTGTTGTAACTCCGTATCTGGACTGCACCTGCGTATTCCTTTAGCTAACACTTTCTTCTCCTTTGCTTGTTAATTCAGTCATTAATGGGCCATACAGTTTCTCAAGCAATTCTCAAATGTCTTCCATTTCCTGTTCCGTCAGCAGCTGGCCCCACACTTCTCTGCTAACATTTCCCCTTTCGTCGCTGTGTCATTTGTTGTTTAAGTGAATTGCTCGACTTCCCATACTGTGACAAGTTGCATATGATACCAGTCCTTATACTCAATGCATGCTCACCTGTCTGCAGGGTTTTTGGTTGATTTCTTAACTAAGGCTTGTCTTTTCCAGGAAGTGTTTGCTTATGTGAGGTGCATTTTCTCTCCATTCCTACCTTCTACCACTTAGTGTTTATAGTCAAATGATCTATTTATGTGACATTTTCTCACACCAGAAGCTTCTTCAAAAAAAAATGTTTCATAGTTAAATCCTCCCCAGTCCTCAGGACCACCAGAGTCCTCGTTCCTTACGTGGGCTTTGAAAATAAAAACAGAACTAACAATAAACTTAAATAATAAGGTCTAGCTTGTATGGGGACTCTGACACTTCAGCTGGATTCAGGACTTGAGATTTCCATGCTGCAAAAAATGGTTATAAGCACACGCTATATTGTAGCTTGTGATGATTGAAAAATCTACACAAATAAGTACAAATGTATTTATATACCTCCAAGTGTAATTTTTATCTAGAAAGCCAGCGGATTAATATTTCCTTGTATGTATAAATACTCATTTGAAAATGTCAAACTACTTACTAGAAATATTGACATGAAATCAATTTTGGGGGGAACAAGGAATATACTTTTCAGTAATCAATACTTGTCAATTATTGAAAATACCTGAAAGAGAACTTAGAAAAGAGATCTAAGTGGGATGACTTTTCTATTGCAAAAAATCAATGTAGGGGCTCTCAAAGTTTTACATTTTCTTTATTTAGTAAACATTGTGTTTCTACTAGGTACTGTCAAATGGTCCCTTATGTCTGCTAAAAATATAAAGGGGGAAAGAATATAGTGTGGCTCTGAGAGATTAAAAAGAAATTTGCTAATATTTAGAATTAAGTGAAAATATCTTGTTTCACATAAAAATCTGTTCAAAATATCATAAGAGAAAACTTTTCCAGAGACCCTAACTGATAAAATTTAAAACCTTTAGAAATTTTTCATTTAATGTAACATTGCTGTTTTGACTATATGGCAGCTGGGGTGGGATTGTTGCAGAGGAATAGGAAGTTAGGAAGTGACTATTTTGTTTGTGACCATTCATTTTTAATTTTGGGGGAAATAATCACTGTAACAGAAATAATTACTCCTCTGTAAAAAAAAATGAACCCAAATAAACATGACATTGAAAAAAGTAATATTGAATAAATTTACTCTATATGAAATTGTTATGTAACTACTCACAGTTTCACAAAATAATTGCTATTACAAAAAATATTTTTTAAATATTTATTTATTTGTCAGATTTACAGAGAGAAGAAGAGACAGAGTACATGCCTTCATTGGCAGGTTCACTCCCCTCCTGGCTGCAACAGCTGGAGCTGAGCCAGTTTGAGGGCAGAAGCGAGGAGTATATTCCCAGTTCATGGGGTGCAAAGTCATAAGGATTTGGGCCATCTTTTGCTGCTTTCCCAGGTACATAACAGGGAGCTGTATTGGAAGTGAAGTGGCTGGGACTTATAACAATGGCCATGCCGGAAGCCGGCACTGCCGATGGTGGATCAAACTACTATGCCTTAGCACTAGCCCCTACACAAATATTTTCAATCAATAACTTTGAAAGGAGTCGAAGTAGTCCAATGAGTCAGTGGTTATGCATCCTTTCTGTTCTTTGCCTTGCAAGATGGGCTCAATCTCCACAAGAGACAGACCACGCTAGCTTCAACCCTATTTTTACTTTAAGACCAAACAGGAATTAAAGCAATAACCACCAATTATGTTGATGGGAAATGCTATAGTGAGAATAAAGTAGCCGTAAGGACTATTCATAAATACAGGGACTGTTCACAAACATACAGAAAATCAAGAACTAGAGTTATGGGGAATCATGAATGGAAATTATTCTACCATTTTGATTTTGGATTGATGGTAAAACATTGAAGCCTGA